GGTGGGCCCCGCCGCGCGGGTGCGCCTCTCATTGGCCCGCTCGCTCCGCCGCGCAGCGCTATTGGTCAGATTCGCGGGAGGGGGCGGTGCCGCCCGGCCCCTCGGGGCTCGCGGCCGCCCCTGCTCGCGGAGCCGCCGTGAGGGCACGTCCTGCGCGGCGGGGCCGCCGCTCGCCTCAGTGTCTTGGAGTGCGTCCCGCTTAGCAGGGCAGGAGAGCCCTGAAGATGCGTCGGGTGCTCTCGGTGTTTCCCGTGGAAACCGCTGAGTGATCTCCCACCGGCACGCTTRGGGAAGGATAAACTGGGCCGTGTGCCGTGGGAAAGGGGGCATCTCATTTTTAGCACCTTTGAAATAAGTTGGCCGTGAAAGCTTTGCAGCTGAACACTGAAAATTAAAGGCTGATGAATAGCTTTACTCTGCTCTCTATTGGGAACATTAACRCATTTCTTTTGGGGATCTTAAATACACCATACAAATATGGACCACACCAGGTGGAGAATCTGGGCTACCTCATTTGGCAGGCAGCAAGTGCATGTATTCTAAACAACTTGCCCAAGTCAGTGCTGGTAAGTCTATGGTAGAGCTGAGATTTCAGTCTACCGTTTTCAGTGTCATGGGGTTGCCAATGARTCCTGAAGTGCTATTTCCCCATTTCCTTCTGTGAGATGGAAACCCATGTGAGGCAGCACATGGTACAGCTGCCCATCATGCGCCATCTGTCTGTCGCAKGGTCACTGGAACTGACATCTTCCCACCCTTTAAACCCTGGAGATGTGTGGTCTAACCACCGAAGAGCCTGCAAAGGCTCATGTCTCATGGAAAAAAACCACTCTGTATAGCTGATCTTATTTTCCTGGGTGCCCTGGCCTCTTTCGTGTGAAAAGCCACTGTGGCTTTCCACAGGGCCATGGCTCTAAGGTGCACTTAGACATTTTGGTCATTCCGAAGCATGGCCAAAGTCAAGGTCCTTTCTGGCTGAAGGCAGCTGGGAAAAACCAGGTTGGATACCCTGTGGATGCAGTTGAAGGCGTGGGGAAGAAAAGTCTCCCTGGAGCCCCGTGCCAGCRCAGCAGCACCCACTCCCTGCAGGGAGCATAGCCAGGGAGCACAGGAAGCATAGACGCTCAGTGTGATCCTCATGCTCAAGACTCATAGGGGCCACTGACCCTCCTGTGGGACATGCCAGCCCTGCATAATTATCTCCCCTTAAATGAACACAGATGGTGCTKTCACATACAGCATTAGCCCCAGAGAGAACCATCCCAGGGCATGTGACTACCACCAAGAAGCATTTTYCCATTAGATACTTTCATACAGGCTTCCTCTGTGATGAAGCCTGTGAGAGATCACCCAGACAGCTGAGCTCCACCAGGTAGAAGGTCTGGAGTAGGAGCCTGCTTGCACTCCGGCTTGTACTAAAATAACAGAAGTGGCTTAATTTGTACCTTTGGTTATTTTGGTACAAGTCCTCATGGGGATGCTAAGGTTAGAACAAAAGCATTCTATTTTGATTTAGTGTAATTATAGCCTGTCTACCTAGCAAAGCTGAATTGCTTTAACAATACTACTGCAGCTAATTCCTCAGAGAATGGATGCAGTTGTGCCAGGATAATGCTAATATGGCTTATTCTTGTCAGGAAAGGGAAAAACATTAAATGTGCAATGCAGGCTCGCTTTGCAGGCRGCTGCAGCTGTTTGAAAGATTACCTTCATGGCAGCCTCTTGCCACACTTGTTCTTGGGGTTGCTCCCTCCACAGCAGGGCCTTACAGCAAGCATTMTCCTCAGGCACCTGGCTGCAAAATCACAGCATTTAATTTGGTATTGGGCTCTTTCAGCCCAGCAGGTGATCCACTGAAACGCATGAGAAGACTTAGTATGGCTGCTGTGCTGTAATGGTGAGGGAACTCATAGCTGTGTGAGGCGTGGTAACATCTTGAGCAGCAATGCTGTTTCAACCGTGAGCCACATAGCTCGAKATAAGAGTCATACTGGTGACAAATGACATCCCTGATCAAAGTCAGGTACCAACTCCAGTACCGAAAATYGTTACAGGTCCTCCTTTTCCTAAAAGTGAGACAAAAGAAAAATGGATTGCTTGCACAGAGGCTTGTGTCCCTTTCTTCTGCATTGAAAACAAGTATCTTTTCAGTGAAACTCTGAAGTCAGGATCTGCATAAAGCAAGTMATTTCTGGTGAGCTGCATGGAGCATGGAGACTGGATACTGTGACTTCTGGTTCATTTCCTCCCCGCTGTTCTGTGCAGGGGACAGAGCCACATTTGCAGCCCAGTGTCTCATTTTTATTCTACATGGTTMCGAGTGTATGCATAGCTGCATCTCTACACAAGACAAGGCATTCTGGTGAAAGGCATGCACAATGGGAAGAAGTACAGCTTTTAAGGATATAGTTCTCTCAGAATTTATTTTTCAGGCTCTGAGCAGCACCCAAAAAAGTTGTCTCCCATACACATGAGCTTTGATAGAAAGGCCCATTGTGCCTGAGGAGAAGAGCTGTCAAGAGGAGTCTCCATCTCCATGCCAAGCTGTTTGTTACCCTTCTCCTGCCAGACCCCAGCAGCTCGTAGTTTTCATCTTTTGAAATCCAGAGGAACTTTCCACCYCAGGGAACAAGAAACTGGAGAAAAGTCAATAGACCAGACAATGTTCATACCACATTTACACAAGGAAAGAAATAAAAGGAGAACTATAATTATATTTTAACTACCTTCTACTCTCAGCATCATCCCATAAATCAAGTACCTTATTAGTACTGTGGAATAGCATATGATGCTGGAAGTCAGTGAACAGTAAATATGCTGATGGTAACTACAGTAAAGACTGTAAGCTGGCTGGCTTTAGTCATCTCGGGCAGTGTGTCCTGGCATGCTGCAGTCATGACAGCAGATTAATTTCTGTCCATTTTGTCCATTTTTGACAAAGAGAGGTGAGTGATTGTACTGTGATCTCTGATGCCAAGCTGAAATGTGACCCAACTGAGGGCACAAGGATGTGCGAGCAGTGTCACCCCTTACCTGCAGTAGCAAATGGCAAATTAATGTACTGTATCAATGCCATGACGAGAACTCATTGAGAGATAAGATGCACACCCACAAGGAAAACTCCTGTAGGTGGGAGGTGAGAGGGCGGGCAATATGTTCTGGSTGACAACCATTTGAACCACATTGAAAGATGACATGAGAAATCTCCTCATGCAATACTGCAAACAAAAAATGCCACGTGTGCATTTTTAAACACCTTCAGCAGASAAAGACAGCTCATGCATTGAGCTAATAAGTTCCAGTGGGATAGCTATAACAGTCTGTATTGTTTCTGTCCTCGGGGGGGGGGGGGGGGGGGGGGCGTGTGTGGATTCAGAGCTGCATGGTTGCCCTATACTGTAATGTACCATCCCAATACAGTAGCCTTTTGTGTAAAAGGATGAGCTAACCGGTTGTTGTGCAGAGGCGGGGCCCCTTTGCACGGCAGCAGCAAGTCAGAGCAGCTCCCGGGCAGCCGTGGTGGTGGTGAGCTGAGGGGCCATTAATGGAGGGATGCTGTAACAGATAGCCCCCGTTTCCGAGCTTTTGGCCTCAATCCTATCACATGCACACATCTTACAGGTTTGAACCCAATTGTTTTCAGATCTCTAAGCTGGGGGATAAACAGGCTTAACTCCACATAGGTCAACAGGGYGGCAGTTGTCTGTCTCAGGGCTGAATCTGACGCATTATCAGCCAGTTCACAGTAAAGCACTGGCTCTATCCTACATGCTCGTGTTAATCAAATATTATTCTCCAAGAAAAACAATAGAGAGAGGAAATTATTTTATCAAGACATGAAGTCGGTTATTGTTATATCCTGGCTTATCATTTTCCCTATGATACAAAAAATATGAACTGAATGCTGGCCTTGGAGAATGAAAGCTTTCCTTTTTTCTTTTCTTGCAGAAACCTGAAAAGCCTGACAGGGAGAGAGGTGAGGGAGTGAGACAGCCCACTCAGAACATGATGTGATGGACTGCTACTTGTTCAGGGGAAGAGTATGGCCTGCTCTGCAGGACTTTGGCCAAAATACTGGTCTTTGTCAAAACAGCAACCTCAAGATCTGGAAAGAGCCCCATCTGTGATGCCCCCAACCATTTTTCACAGAGTCAGATCCCAATGACTCAACTGAGCTGGTCGTTGGCAGGCAAGGTAGTGAGAAAAGAAAGGGGAAGAAGGGAGGGAGAGAGCAAGGAAAGGACAGTAACCTGGGAAGGAAAAGTAGCTTACTTAMGGGGTTGCTCTGACCTGCTCTGACTCTAGAGAATTGCCTTTGAAGTGGTCCTATCAGAACTGTGAGAGGAAAGGGCTGGAGAAGCATCAGATATTGTCAGTTTTATTATATATTTGATTTGTAATTTTAAAAAATTATAGATTTGCCAGGACTTTTTCTTTAGCAACATTCCCATACCAAGGT